ACAGCGACTGCATTATCGAGGAGAAGACCGTGGTCCGTGCAGAAGAAAGAACAATGAGGGCGTTTGGGTTTCGGTTGCTCCGACGGGGCGGAAAGGTAAGGAAGCAGCTGCTCCCACGCCTGGATGCGTTCACGTGCGTGTGCGTGTGTGTGTGTGTGTGTGTGTGTGTGGAAAAGGTTCCCCAGCTCAGAAAGAAGCCTTTGTCCTGGGGGCACTTGGTTGCCAGACAACCGTGTTCTCTCACATTCTGCCCTACTCAGAAGACATCGGGGCTTCCTCTAGGAATACTGTTAATTTCTGTGCACAATATTGCTCTGAACAAGCTCGCTCTCTCTCCCCCTCCCTCCCCCACTCTTTTTTTTAATTCATGGGTTTCATTTATATTTTGAGGTTTAGTTCAGCCTGATTGTGGCTGGGTTCAGAGCTCCTGGTCTCAGATACCCAGAATTTGCCAGGTCCCGAGTTTCGGGGATCTCGAAACTGCCCCGTTCTGGCAGTGGGCTTCAGCTCTGAGTGCGGCAGGCATCCGTGTGCCCGCCTCTAAGGTGACTTTGCAAAGGAAACGTGGCAAGATGGTCCCCTCCACTGTGGCCCAGCCGGCAGCACACACGTCACGTGGCCCATGGTGGGGGGCTCCGGGAACGTCTTCCACGGCAGTGCACCTCCCATCAGCCCTGATCTTGGGGGCTTCCCTTCCAAGATAAAACAAAATGGCATCGCCTCCCCGTGAGAGGAGACATCTGTGCACCACATGTGTTGGGGGGATCCGTGTGGAAGTTTGATCTCGGAGCTTCTGTGCTCTGCCGGGGGTCCCACACCTGTGCTGGGGAGGCCCCTTCCCCAGGGGCAGCCCCACCTGCTCCAGACTCAGGCTGCCGTGACAGCGGCCTGTCCAGAGGGAGGGAGAAAAGATACATCGGTCCCCGTGTGGGTCCGTGACTGTCTGTGTGGTGTTGTCACCCCTCCCCCAGCTGAGGCCACCTTCATCTTCCCAGCCACCACCCCCGGCCGCTCATGTCTACCCAGGAAAGTCCACCTCCTGCCCTAGAGTTTCCCTCTGCAGCTGTGGGGCCCGGAAGCCAAGGCTTGCTCTGGGTGCGGAGCAGGGGCCCAGGCCTCCCCTGGCCACTGGCCGCAGGGTGGTCACAGAGAGCCAGGCTCCAGGCGGAGAGAACTCGAGCAGCTTCCCAGTCTGCAGCCACCCACTGGGTCAGTGCTCTGTTCCGTCCATGCTCCAAGTTGAATCCCCTTGGTTGCGAGTCTACATAGATGTAAATTTGGCAAGAGGTTCAGTGTGGTGTTTCTATAGCTCCATGTGGTTATGGGGTGTGGGGGGGAACTTTTCCATTTTTAGAACTGAAAATGTTTAGTCACCGATGCTTTTAAAGAAAATGACAGGCGTGTACATACAGCCACGTCCAGGGCAGCACGTTGTCCTGTGCCTCCAGCCGAGGGGCCGAGAGCTGTGATGGGCCAAAGGCAGCTGGCTCTGTTGCTTGAGCTGGTGTTGACCTGACTGAGTCAGCCTCTTCCCAGCGGAGAGCTGGCCTGGACCTCCCTCTTTCCATGGAGACACGAGGGCCTTCTCTCCCCCAGGGTCCTGTGGGAGGCCTGGGCTGCCAATGTGGACACATCTCCCAGGCTTGTAACGAGGTGTCCCTTGCCTTCCCAGCGGATACGCCCATTGAAGAATTCACGCCGACACCGGCGTTCCCAGCCCTGCAGTACCTGGAGTCCGTGGATGAAGGTGGGGTGGCGTGGCAAGCCGGACTGAGGACTGGGGACTTCTTGATTGAGGTAGGGACACAGGTGTTCGTATCTTTCTGCTGGGGGAGAGCGCCGACTCTCTTGGGGTGGGGCCTGTGGCCTTGGCAGCGTGGCCAGGGGGCCGGAGCTGGGGGTGCCGTGGACGAGACCGCCGTGGACGAGTGTTGCCTGGTCATTTCCGCCCACTGTGGTTGCTGTTTCCCGTGGACCGCGCCTTGGGGTTGTCTTTGAGGCCTCAGCTGTGACTCTTTGAAGGGTAGAAATGCATGTGAAACTTGGCCATTGGTCTTGAAGTAGAAGGAAGAGAGAGGTGGTTGCCACGTTGTCGGGGACACACTTGGATCTGTGGGGGTGGCCTAGTTGTGACTCTGTGAATAGACACGAAGAGAGGCCACCTCCCATTCTCATGTCACCGGCGCAGGTTGGGAGGCGCTGGACCACGGCTCTTGTTTGCACGAGGTCTCTAACGGTGACGGCCAAGGGTCTGTTGATTTGCAAGTCGAAGTAACAGTCCTGTCGGATGGGGATGGTCTTCAGAGACCGAGGAGGCTGGGCAAGAGAGGTGTCTGGAGTTGGTGGTGCAAAATGGAAACTTTTAAATCCAGGTGCTTGGAAAACTGGCTCTGGCTAGCAGGTGAAAGGAGGGCCTGTCCTCTTCGCTGAACAAAGCTCCCTAGCTGTGCTGCCCGCGTGCTCCAGGCCTCGCCCGGGGTCGCCACGCTGGAGTGAGAGGAGCTGAGCTGCCTGCGCGCCTGAGCTCCCTGCCTTTTGTGGATTTGGGCGTTCCCTTCAATCGTGTTGTGCAAAGGAATGTGTTACTCTTTGGAAGTACCAAGAAGAAAAGGAATGTGCTGTACCTTGAAAAAGGTACCTTTAAGAGGTCCGGTAAGCTCAGATGGCCCTCGCTGGGAGTTCACATTTCTTGGAAAAACCATTGCTTGGGGGTAACCCGGAGCCCTGTCTCACCTGCTCTGGGAGTCCACGCGCAGGTGGAGAGAGTGGAGGCGTGGTTTCCAGCCAGGCGCCCGGGGCCTCCGCCGTGGGGCTGGAAAGGTGGAGACCCGGGCCTTGGTGAGGCGGCCGCTCCCAGCCATTCCTCTCCGTGACGCCTAAGCCTCCGGGGCTTTTTCAGCTGCAGTTTTGCCCGTGCTCTCCTCAGTACTTCCGAAGACTGAGTGACAGGAACCCGGAAGGAAAGACAGGAGAGGAGGAGGGAGAGCCAGGTGACACGGAGGCGGTGCTGCCACTTACTCCAGGTGTCCTGTGTTGCTCTCACTTTATTTGTGGCAAGAGGTATTTAAATTATTATTGACCAATCAGAGTTTGGCTCATATGAAGACCTGTGCTCATTTTTGCCCAATTAAACCGTGGAATGCGTTCCCAGAATGATGGATACTGGAACCCACGGTGGTTTCATGGGTTAACTCGATTTGTAACCTCATGAAAATGCAGAGAGACTGGGTTGAATCATCCTCTGTAGGATGCAGTTGTGATGTAAGTCCCCTTCCCGTGTGTGTGTGTATGTGTGTGTGTGTGTCTGTGTGCGTGTGCGCAAGAGACAGAGACAGAGACAGAGAGAGGGAGGTGGCTCTAGGTTGACAGAGCTGTTGCTGGTTCTTGGTTTTAAATAATCAATGAGGGCTGCAGATGCCAGAGCACCCCTGGTTGTCAGGCTCATGGGATGGTCTCCTGAATAAACAAGTCAATGAAAGAAGCAGGAGCCTGCCGCGTGGCCAGTGCTGGGCCCACCGCTCTCCCAGGGGGCAGAGATGCTGTGTTGGTGGACGTGACCGCGGGGCACGCCTGCGCCAGACAGAGAAGGCCCGCCACCCGGACTGATCGAGGGCTCTGTGGAAACTGGGAGCGTTTCGAGTTGCTGTCCTGTTTTCCAAGCAGCTCCTTTGACATTGCTTTTAACCTCTCATAAGCAAACGTATTTGCCATTTTGGAACAGGTTTTATATTCTGGGTCACCTCTAGATTCCATGAATGGCTAGCCCTGAGCTGCGTTAAGGTTCTGTT